CGTCGGAACCTCATAGTGCAGCACGTTGATGTCAAAACGGCATGCGTTTACGGCGAATTATCCGCGACGATCTTTATGAAGCAGCCTGCTGGATTTGCGTCTGATGCCAAGAATGATGTCTGCCGTTTGCGAAAGAGCCTCTATGGTTTGAAACAGTCGGGAAGAGTGTGGAAAATCAGCGAGGTATTACAGGAGCTCGGATACGTACCATCCGAATCCGATTCTTGTCTCTACGTGAGAACATGCCACGGAAAGAAGACTTTCGTCTTGCTCTATGTAGACGATATGCTGATTGTAAGTCAAAACGAAGAAGAATACGGAAGGGTTTGTAAATTTCTGCAGCGATACTTCAAAATCACATGTCTTGAAACTGTATCCAACTACCTCGGTATCCAGATTCAGGGAACGCAAAGTGGCCAGTTCATGTTGAATCAGAGCGCTTACATCCGGAGGGTAGTGGCTAAGTTTGGAGAAGACAAAGCGAAGCCGTCTCACATTCCAATGGACTCCGGATATCCGAATCTACAACAAATCGAGGAGGATCCGATGCCGCGGAACGAGGAGTTCCAAAGCTTAGTAGGTGCTTTGCCATATGTTGCGGTGAATACGAGGTCTGACCAGGGCCCAACAAAGTCACTTTCAATCGAAAATCGTCAAGCGACGACGAAGCTGTTAACAATCATTTTCAATTGAAAGTCATTCTGTCTTCTCTTCGAGCAGATCCCCTTCAACATCAACAGAACCACTTTCGATCAATTTTCATGCTGTTTCATTTAACTTGACTCGTGTTTATTTCGTCTTTCATTGTCAAATGAACTTATTTTCGCATTGAAGCGAAGCTGTTCGATCCAAATTTGCGCAGTTTTTCTGACTTTTCTTGATTGTTCACTCGGTTCATTTAAACTCATGCGTATCAATGACGTTTATATAAGGTTCGGGCCAACAGGCAGCTTGCTGGTATTAGAAGCAAAAAGATTATAAATATTGCTGAGCTCTCAAGTGACGATGTGATGTTACCATAACATTCCATACTGCGAACAGTGAGATTTACGTCACTGCTAACAGCTGTTTTGTGTAAAAGCTAAGCATTGCAATTTATCATTGGCGGATGGTTTGTTTGGGTATTTTTGGAATCGGGGTGACGTCTAGAGGTCGGAATCGATGACCGACGCCATTTGTAAATCCATGATGGTGGCTTCCGAATTCAGAAAAAAAAAGTATAAAATACTGAAGCCGACCCATCTATATGGATACTTTTGGAATCGAGGTGACGTTTATAGGCTGAAAATCTTCCAGTATATAAAAAAGTGGGAACAACTGTCAAATACCCACTAATATAGGTATTTTTTTGATCGAGATGATGTGTAGAGAATGAGAATCGAAATCCGACACCAATTTGGAATTCAATTTAACGGCGCCGGTTGTGTAGTGGTAAGCGTGATTACCTCTCACCTCAGCAGGCCTGGGTTCAATCCCAGTTGGCGCCACCGGGATGTTCTGAAGCATAACAGCCGTTGGTCCCAGGTTCATGAGTTGATGGGTTGATTGGTAAGGGTCCAGGTGTGGGAGCTGCCTTCCTAGCACGGAAAACAAGATCGACGGAAAACAAACCAAAGGAAAAAACAATTGCAATCCAAGATGGTGGCTTCAAATTTCAGAAAAAGTGGGAAATACTGACGCCGGCCCATCAATATGGGTAGTTTTGGAATAGGGGTAACGTCTAAAGATCAAAAATCGATATGCGACGCCATTTTGAAAACCAAGATGATGCCATAAGGTCCAAGACAATGTTTGAAATACTGACAAATACTCATCAATAAGGAGTGGTGCACATATTATGTCACGCTTTCGGGATGTCATCTATAGATCGAAAATCGACAAGAGACGCCATTTTAAAATCCAAGATGGTGGCTTCCGGTTTAATAAAAGTGGGAAATACTGTGAAATACAATCGGGAATACAAATGGAATAGGGATGACGTCAAGATAATGAAAATTGATATTCAACGCCATTTTGAAATACAATATGGCGGCTTTGGTTCAGAAAAAGTGTAAATACTGTCAAATAACGATCAATGTGGGTTGTTTTGGAATCGGGGTGATATCCAGAGACCGGAAATCGATGTTCCGTTGGAAATTCAAGACAGTTGCTTCCGATTTCAGAAGAAGTAACAAATACCCTACAAACGGCGTCGAATATCGATTTTCAGCATTTACGTGTCGTCCCCGTTCCGAAAACACCCATATCTTAGGGTATTTGATACGATTTCTGAAACCCAAAGGCCTCCATCTTGGATTCCAAAATGGCATCGAATATAGATTTTCGGCATCCACGCCCCCGCTTCGAAAATACCCTATTGTAATGAAGTAATAAAATTGGGTTGTAAGCGGAATGCTTAAATAAAACAAAAAAAAAGGTTTTCTTCCATTATTCCCTATTGTAGGATATTTGAAACTTTTTATGAAACCCGCTGGCCGCCATCTTGCATATCAAAATGGGACCAGATATCGATTTTCGGCATTTACGCATCGTTCCCGTTCCGAAAATTCTCATGATATCTGACACTTTTTTATAAAACCCTATGGCCTACATCTTGGATTTCATAATGGCGTCGAATATCGATTTTCGGCACTTTCACGTCGTCCCCGTTTCAAAACATCCCTATTGTATGGTATTTGAGACCTCGTTAATTTAATTTTTGTTTAATATAAAATAACAATTTATTACTATATATAACCCGAATGCCATCCCTATCGGCAACCGATATTGTGCTAATACTATCCGGATACTATGTTTTGATGCCTGACGACGCGACGCGTGACAAGTCGAATGAGCTCCGAATTGAAGTGAAAGTTGAAAAAACGAAGGAAGCAGTTTTCGAGTCATTCATACCATCAATTGAAACAAGTCGTTACTTCAAATGAAATGAACTGATGATCTTGACGAAAGAAACAAGCGATAGCCAAGTCATGTTGAACAGGAGGAATGTTCGTCGTGACTCGATATCAAGAAACACAATTGCTTACACGAAAACGATATTGCTCAAAATGAAGCGATTCTGCGGAGGGTTCATTTTCTTTTCTTTGTTTCGAAAATGCAGAACCCTGGGCCTGACATTGCCATTAGCGCATCCATTATGGGACGCAAGGTTAGCCGTTCCACCGAAGCTGACTGGACGGAACCCAAACGCACATTGCGATATCTCTACACCACCGCCGTCTTGAGATTGAAGCTAGGAGATGCAGGACCACTAGAAGCATATGTAGACGCTGACTGGGCTGGTGATCGTGAGGACCGGAATAGCAATACTGGGTTCGTTTTCCGACTTGGCGGACCAATTTGCTGGACAGCTAGGAAGCAGCAGTGCGTCACACTTTCTTCAACCGAAGCGGAATATGTCGCCTTATCAGAAGCTAGTCGTGAGTTACTCTGGCTTCTTGAGCTGATGAAGGACGTAGGAGAGATCGTTGCCAAACCCATCACGGTACAGGAGGACAATCAAAGCAAATCGTCATAAAAGTTGCATAATATTGCCACATTATTAACAAAAAAGAGAGGTGCAACCTACCTCCTAAATTTTTCAGGAAATAGTCCACATCAATTTTGGTTAAATCATGACGTAACCAATCCCATCAGATCGTGGCCGGTACGCATCGTTTATAAATTTACCTGAGCCGGCAAAAAAACCTGTTTACATTTTTGTTTGAGTCTATTTTCCATAACAAAAAATATACCTCCACATCTAAGCGCTCGACACAACCTGCCCCTAAAAAACTAACCTCTCCGAGTCGGAGAGTGAAATACCCGCTAACGGCCCGTTGTAGTGCGATGCATTCATACTGGTCGTTGCACATAGTATATCCAAGCGCAAATCTTTTTCAACGGAACCGCTTGGGGGTGGTGGGGTGTATTAACTACTAAATACTAAGGCTCTGAACCATTTGGCGATTTTTTTAACTTTTGGTTAAAATTTGACAGATGGAAAGTTATCGATTAACCCTGCTATCCCAGCATAGTTATTTATGACAGACAAGAAGTTAAGGGGGTATTCCCAATCTTTTTTTTTCAAAAAATCAAATTTTTTTTTTTCACGTTTTTTTGTACTTTAGACTATATACTTTCATCCCCCCAAGCCGTTTTCCGATCAGCGAATTCGGTGTCCAGGCATAGCTGACTAATGGTAAGAACCCCCAAATGGTTTTAACTAAAGTCAAAACTTTAAACGCGTTTTTCTCGAAACCACATTTTTTTATCGGGCGAAGATTTTTCTCAGAAACTATAAGAGATATTGACTTGAATCTTTGCGCATTTTGTTCCTTATTAAATTCTTTGGAGCTTCTCCCACTTTCAGCCAAAAATATTAACATTTAACATTGTTTGAAGCACCTTAAAGTTGCAAAAAAGCGGGCTAAAAATCGCCTGTTTTTTCATATGGCCGCCATTTTGTTAATTTTCAAGATTTTTTGCTGCCAACGGGAGAAGCTCCAGAGAATCTTATGCAGATTATTATTTCATCACGAAATCTGTTTCAGATGAAGCCGTTCCAGAGAAAAGTCTTCGCCCGTCCAGGCGTTTGCGGCGAACAGGGGTCTGTTTGTCGCCATTTTGTGACGTCAATAATGTCTTTTTTTATGTCGAAAAAAAATTATTTGTAAACTTTAATGTTCAATAAACAAGAATCCCAAAGAGTTAGGCGCATTACTATTCATTTTCCTTGAAAAAAAAATTAATTGAAAAACAGGCCGAAAAAAGGCAAAAGATTGGGAATACCCCCTTAAATTTTGACGACCGTGGCTCGAAAACCGGTCGATCGACAGCACGGGGATTTTCGAACATAAGAAATAACTTTCGAAATGTCACTTTTAACCACGAGTTAAATTTAGCTCGGCAAATGATTCACAGCCTAAGGTGTTGACCACGCTGCGCGAAGATGCCGCTCTCTCTTAAAAATTGCGCGCATAAACCACCAAGTGATTCAGTCCTGCTCCAGGTAGCGGTTGATTCGGTCGTTTTTAAGAAACCGGTGCCTTCGGTTCGGATCGATAGATTTCCATCAAAAGTGTTCGAATTTGATTAGGGACGGTGGCTAGATTGATCTTCGGCAAGACCGGTTACGGTGGCTGCTGGAACGAAGTAAGTGCACCGGAGATCGCACGACGATCAGCAGTAGAAGTTGCGCGCAGGAAGGCACGTGTCGCAGAACTTTTTGCAGCTGTTGTGCGAGAGACGCAAAGAGATGCAACCACAAGAATAGCGTATGTGTCAAGTGCCAAAAATTTTCTAAAGTGAATTGCAGTTTTTTTTTATTCTCTCAATGCATGATTTATTATGTCACTAGGTGGAAGGTGACTAAATAAAGAGATCAGCCAGTAGTGTCGGGGAAAAAAAGTGAAAGGTATTTGGTGGTAGGAGAAGAACAACCAGATAGAAGTAAATGCAAGATGGAGAACCGTGCTTACATCGGTGATGAAACCGGGCAGACCCGAATCGAGGGAGTTACCGTCAGCAACGGAGGCATTATTTACCAGGTAATAGCTGAAATGCAAAAAAGGAAGGTGCAAAGTGATTTTTGAAAAGCGTTGGATGTTCGTTGAGTGCATGAATAGCTACCAAGCTTGAGGGATTTTTAGCGTTGCAGAAAAATCGCCGAACAATGTGCTTAAATTCTCCAAGTAAATCGGAATATTTATTAACACACTGGGGTCTTCATTGGATGCGTCAGGCGGTACAAGTTTGTTTTCTAGTAAAGAATTGAAGTCTAGCAAGCGTCTTTTAGCGATATCCGGGAGATTTTTCTGAAGATTGAATTTAATCATATCGCTTCCCGGTGAGGAGTTGCTCGATGAAAGAAGAGCCATAGTACAATCATGTTCTATGTCCAGGGAAGTCGAAAAAATTTCAAGAACGAAAAATCTCTAGATCGGACGGACTCCAGCATGGTCTTTCTTTGTAGCTGCGCCTTTACCAACTGACCTATGGGAGGCTCCGAATTATTCTTATTATTTTTATTTATATATTGCTTACACAAAGTTGGGAGTTCATTCATCTTCTTACCACCGACGAACCGACGTGACAACTCATAGAAGCCACATTCTTTCCCAAGACTCCATATTTAATATAGGTTAAACACTATCGCCATTTACTCATCCGATCGCGTCATATCGTAAGCAAGGAAACGTACACACGTAAAATTTACATTGGCTTGGTTTGCGTCTCACCTTGTTTGACAGATCTGATCGCCCGTTTGATAGATTGAACTGCTCATTTGACAAATAGAGTTGCGGACAAATGAAATGCTCCAGTGACATGTCGGTTCGTCGGTGTTCATACTTCATTCTAATGTTTATATTGCATACAGAATTTCACATTGGAAAACTGATAAACATTAAATCGGAAAAATATATTTTGTAAATTATCTAAACCCACGTAGCATTTCTTATTTTATTGCACTCTATTAGTGGTTTTTGAGATCAATTTTATAAAACCGCACAACCTTTTGATAACCGCTATAAGATCGTCTTCCAGCTTAGCGGACCACTCTTGATAAGGTTTATAATGCATGTTTGAGAATCACAATAAAGTTGGCTTAAAACCTTTTGTAAAAAAGCCCCATACTCTACAAAAGGTTCTCATAGCCTCTTTAAAAGTAATATTGTATTCAAGCAGTTTTATTACGGTTTGGTGAAAATCAGTTAGGGCTTAGGGGCCTCATAGCCTAGTTAGTAAAGGCACGGTATTTCCAAGTCGGAGGCGGCGGGTTCGATTCCCGCCGAGGGAATCTTTCGGGTTGGAAATTTTCTAGACTTCGTTGGGCATAGAGTATCATTGTGCGTGCCACACAATATACAAATTCATGAATTGGTATTGGCATCGAAAGCTCTCAATTAATAACTGTGGAAGTGCATTTAGAACACTAAGTTGAGAGCACGCAATAAGCTAATATGCCATACGCAATAAGTTTGAAATGCGAGGAAGAAGAAGAAGAAAATCAGTTACAAATCCAATTTAATTTTTATTGCTTCAAAGCAACCGCCAAAAATAAGCTTATTGTTGTTCTGTTCTATTGAAACTTTTTTTACATATGGAAATCTTTAGCTGTAAAAATAGGTTTGAGTGTTGGTGTCAAGATCACCATGCAATCAATTTTGTTTTAATGGCAACATTAGTGAAAATCTTAAAGAAAATATAGGGTAAATGTTGGCTTCGGCACCCATTGACTGTTTTCGGCAACCAAAATTTAAACGTTAATTTCACTATGTTTTCCCATCAACGCACTTCCCTGAATGTGTCCAAACGATTGTTTAGCCTTTCAGCTTCAATCTGATTATATTTGAACGATCAAGCAATCCAGTAATGCTACATTTTTCTTCAAATAAAGCGTGCGTATGCTTTGTAGTGCGTATTACAAAATGAGGTTGATTTCGAGTTGCCGATAATAGAACAGCTGGTTAACACGCAGTTCTAATGGGAAGGTTGCCGAAGAAAAAGACTCTGCCGACAATAGTCACACTCACCTGAGAAGTTTGGAGCGTTGTAAAAACGCTTTCAAAACGTTTTGAAAAATTCTGTCGATTGGAATGGATAGAGAAGCAAGCAGCAGATGAATGTAAACAAACAGACACATCATATATGTGCGTGACGCTGAGAAAATGCTAGTAGAAGTGCAGACGCTGCTTAGATTGACGAGAATACGTAAATTCCCCTATGTCTTTTTAGATGGTTCCAAAACATATGCGCTTGAAATTTTATCGTGTGTTTTGGGATAATATGAGCGTTAAATAAATGCGGCTCCAAAATAATTCAAGTTAACAAAAAAGATTGTTTCAGAAATTAAATGAATTTGATGGAATCATCTTAATTTAACAGAAAAAAGATCTCAATAAATAAATTCATACCAATGCACACTGAAAATCATTTCGGATCTCTAATTTAGCCATTATTTTATTGAAATTTCTGGGATTTTATGCCAAGGCTAATGGCATTTCCATAATGAAAATATGGCGTCAGAGGACAACAGGCAAGAAAAACACCAAGCGCAATTTCTTAAAATGTCTAATGCTTACATTGGATGAAAGCAGAAGCAGAAAAGCATAATGCATGATTTTATTTCGAGCACTATTTTATTTTTACAAATGCAAATAATTTTTTTATTTGTATATTTGGTATATTTGGCAAATGTAAATTCCTATTCTACGGGTGCAACCGATGAATTTGACAAACATTTGGAAAAGTTTTGAATGGTACATTAACCTTTATGAAAAGTTATGCGTAATTTCTACTTTTTTGTCCTAAAACTGTCACCATTACATGTATTTTTAGCTCGTAATACTAGAGGGGATGGAGGAGGAATGTTTTGCCACTTTGGTACCAGTATTGTCCATTCACAAGTTCAATAAGGTCCAGGTAGTTTTAATACTGCTAGGGTAGTTTTAATCAATGGTCTAGGATCGCGTGACAGAATGTCCGATAAGCGAGTATTAAAAAAAGGAAAGAAAGTCTTCAATTCTGATTGTTGAATTGTTGTGACCATCCACGACTGTAAATCTGATAAGAGACGCAAGTTGGCGTAGGTATCATCCGCCGACTCCAGATATATATATTCCTCTTCAGGAGTCATTTTTGGTGTAGCAATGAGTCCATTCGAAGTGAAGATGGTTCAAAATGGTGAGGAAGCACTTTATTAACAGCTTCTTTTGTGACATCCGCAGAGAACGCAGTGGGATTTTTTTTTTCTTGGTTGGAGTTATTCACGAAGGTTTGCGGCTGACTGTTGCAAATAAACAGGCTCATAACAATTTTGTTGATTTTCTTGCGCTCCACTTGGAAGTCTTTTCTATGTTGTAAAAATAAACCGCCCATTTACACTTCTGACAAGTTGCAACTGAATGCTTATTATTGTTTTAAAATAACTGTTTCATGGCCAACTAGTTTTATTGCGCTTAGTTATATAGCAATATAGGGATTTATTTTTGAGATTTATAAGGGCAATTCATATTGTTTTTGTATACTTCAAGGCAATCATAAAACCTTTCATAAGTGAAAATAGCATAAGCATCCGTTGGTTTTTTATAAGCTATATATATGGGCCAGTGGTGGCGGGGGGGGGACACCCCTCACCATCCCTCTCCAAAGGGGGAGTTTGGTAAAGAGAGATGAAAAAACCGATTTGTACCTTCCTTAAAAGTTGTCCTAGTTCGCTATTCTAATATCTATATACAATCTTCACACTGCCGTACTCTAACGGAACTATCAACTCTATGCTTTCATCTACTCCATCTATCGTATAAAAATTACCACTACAGTCTGTTATTTGAAATTAGCATCTTCAACTAAGTAAATCGTTGACTTCACGTAGAAGTAATACTAAAAACATATAGTCAAAGTATATATATGGGTTTTGTAGATAGCTATAATACCCCGTTCACATTACAGCGTATATCACGTGATATACGCTGTCTTGCCATGAGCACTCATACATCTAGTTTTCACTGGAAATCCTATGTATGAGTGCTCACTGCAAGACAGCGTATATCACGTGATATACGCTGTAATGTGAACGGGGTATAAGAATGTTCCATGACTTGCATTGTATATGACCGTCATAAAGCTGTAGGTAATGGTTGCAGCTGCAATAAAACCTTTATAAATTTTGAATATAACCAAACAGCTCTAGATTTGTTACTTGGGAAATGTATTAAGAATGTAAAAAAAAATTAATCATAGATTTGTGGGAAAAAATCATGTGAAACCAGTTTCTTTATATATCAATTTGTCAAAATGGGCTACCGCCTGTTACCGAAGCATACATGTTTTGGGCTTATGTTTTATCAAAGAGGCATTTACGATTCTATTCAAATGGCTCCTTAGCCTTTCCAAAATACATCATTCACCCTACTCATGCTATAGGATCGCACAAATTAAAACTAAAAATGTGATGATTGGACATCACGGTTGAACAAAACCTCCCCCTCCTCACCCCTATTCCCGCTCCTGTTTGTAACAGTTGGTCACGTTTTCTTAAACCCCCTCCTATATGCGCGACGTAATGTCCCGTGGCATTATTCGGAATCTGTGTGCTTTTAACCGATAAAACGGAAAAATGGAAAATTCTGAGTTGTGGCAGTATTGCATGAACCAGACGATATCTTGAATCCAAAGTCGGTTTCCCATGCCTGTATACCTTCATACTCTTCTAAAAGCTGATGCTTTGTTTCTTTTTAACCTCGACAAACGAAAGCCTCTGTGACTGGTTTTATAACCCTATAAAACTTAAATGGCATTACTCTGTCATAACCTCACATTTTTATTTTCGACGGCACTGCTTTACTGCCGACTGAATGATAATTAAACCTCCATTACCATCATAATTGAAACCAAATAAGTGATTATAAGAAATGATTCAATTTGCTTTCCCCAACTAAAATTCAATCCTCGTTGCATTCAGTTGAAAGTGCAATCACTAAACAATACTGTGGCCTTTCCAGCAAATGGTATGCTGATAAAATATTCTGGTTAAGCGGTAAGAGTA